AGATGCAAAACAGATGTTTAACTTGGAGATTAAGAGAGAAAGTCATAGGAAAATCTGCTAAACAAGCACTGCTATTTCTGAGCAAGGAACTCAACTTTGAACTTATAGACTTTGAACACTTCTCTGAAGAAGAATTGGCGGGAGCCGAAGCCTTCAAAAAGTGCCAAATTAAACCAGGTAAGTTTTACTATCGTTCTCTTTTAGTTCATATTTGGATTCTACAGCAGTATACGTCAACTCGGTCCTATTATGCTTGTTCAGTTACACCGACTCGTGTCAACATTTGATCCCGTTTGATCCAGAAATTGCGTTTTAGTGCATTCGTTCATTATGTACCGTTGACAAGTTGCAAAACAATCCTTTGATCGGTTGACATTACTCCACGGTGACATTAAAGTGAATACTCCAATTAAGAAATTTGGAGAAAGCCCCATTCTTAATGAAACGCAAGGCCTTAAATTAACAAGTTTTTAAGAATACCGATTTTACTCGCTCTCCAGTTTGTGAATTAAAACTATAGTCCCAGGGCAAAAAAGACTAGTTGCTCGAGTTCCTAACAAATAAGATTATTTGTCAACACCTTCGACACCGTTTCATCAATATTGTTTTAAGTGAAGAATTGCATCATTCGTAATATTTTTGGACGTTTAAATACACTTTTACTAGAGATAAAGACTCATAAGCCAAACCACAAAAGACCGGAAATCAGCCTTGTATTGTTGACTACTATATTGCCAACGATCTCGACAATAGTATCTGGTTTTACTAGCCTTGGTTCAAAGAAATTAAATGTAACTGGTGAAGTTCGCAGAAACTTCAAAGTTCAACCTTATTGGTGTGTAGAACCATTCCACAAATTCCAGATCAATGATGGATATGCGACTAAAAACAATTTTACTTTCAAAAGTCCCACAATATTCATAATACGAAACGTCGGAGTAAAATAATTTAAACAAATGATTTTTATATCTTAAAAAAAATGTGTACATTCCTTTTGATATTGATTTACTAACGCAAATAAACGTGTGTAGAATAAAAAAAAATTAGCTTTATAAAAAATTTTTTCTGAAACTTTGCCATTGAATTGAACATTTCAAAATTGTCTCCTAATCAGGAAAGCTGCCAGTTTACCATACAATAAGAGATTAGAAAATTTATCACTGAAAATGGGGGTGGGTGGGGGATAAAATTGGTTAATACTTATTTGAAAATTGGTTCTACTTATTTGAAAATTATAACTTTTCTGGACTCTAATCAGGCATTTGCATTTTGTAAAAGAACAAGTAATATAAAAAAATTTAAAAGTAAATTCCTACTTTTTTCCACTGTATTGCAGAAAGTCCTTTACAATAAAGTTGAAATTTTCCTCTTGCAACTGGCGCCATCTATTATTAAATACATGCAACTTAAATCTAAAAAAACTAAAATTATTTAAATTTAATGAATGAATTAATATTTGAGAAAACTGTATTATCAAGTGTTATCCACTCCAAGTTTTAAAAACTGTATTGGACTTGAGTGGATGAATAAAAAGTGTTTTATTAACGATTGAAAATTTGAACAAGATGTATATAGGGAGAGTGTGAACTAATAGTAGGAATTGAAAAATAAGAATTTTTTTTAGTTTTTGTTTTACTTTGAAATTACTTTTTGTAATGATTCGCAGGTGCAGAAAGATTGATAAGGCATTTCCACGAAAATGGCATTCCTATAGGACTGGTTGCTCATACAGATCCCTCGGTTTTTCGATGGAAAACTTTACAATATGAACATTTGATCGAAATGTTTTATGTGGTAAATAATGAATTGCAAGATTCGTCTCTAACTGACGGTTACATGAACTGTGCTACAAGAATTGGCGCTCTGAACAATTTGGAACAGGTAAGGCTATGAAGTTCGATATATTCAATGTCAAGATTCAGCTGTTAAAGTATTGACCATATTTGACTGACCAACAAAATATATTAAGCACAATGATATATTAATTGTAAGTAAGATCTCGCTTAACGTAGGGATACTACAAACTACAGAATTTCCGAGCTAAGAAAAATGGTTAAACGAGGTCATTTTAACAAGTTGTTGTTGTTGTTTCTTATCCCACTTGGCTGGCCAAGCCCACGAGCCCGTACGTACTCATGATTGAAGGGGAAGGAAGCAGCTTCTGTTGTGATGGAGCACCCGTAGGTAGAAGCCTGACTTTTGCTCCGTGACGCTCTTACAGTCATAGGAGACCGGGACCTAAAAAAGTGGATTCCGAACCACTACAAACATCCATGGCACCGCCGTAAATTCGAACCCGAAACCTGTGGCACCGAGCGCCAGAGCGCTAGACACTCGGCCATTCAGGTCCCACATTTTGCCAACGGCACGCGGTGTTCCCAGGTGGTCACCCACCCAAGTACTGACCGCGCCCAATGATGTTTGACTTCGGTGATCTAACGAGAACCGGTATATTCAGCATGGTACGGCCGTTGGCTATTTTAACAAGTAAATAATAGATAGTGAAATGCAACGGAAAATAAGAATTTATCAGTTTTGTTTAATAAAGAGCATTTAACAATAAATATTATATTAATTATATATTTATGAAAAAAAATGGCAATAAATGAAATACTCGCGTAAATTTGAAAAAGAACAAATAGAGTAAATAATTCGTTTTCAATGAAGTTTTTTGTGTAGTCTAATTTCATCAGCGGTCTCCAGTTTCGTTCAGCAATTAGTTGTAAGCCAATGACACTTCGTCTAACACTGAATTCGTCTTTAATGGCATTTCGTCTTGCCTTTAAGCAATCTTGCCATAAACTTAAGCAAAATTGAAATCATTTTGGATAAACTGATCCATAATTTTCGTTATAGTAGCCATTTTATTTAATTCGCTGAAAGTTAGTTGTGCTCATCTTTAACAACGCTAATTTCGTCATTATCGTGTACTTGTTGCTATACTAAGATAATCGTTAAAGACTTTCCCCGGTTGTAACTTGCAATAGTTTTTGGACGACTTTCACAGCTGCTGTCCCCAACAGACGATCATTTTGATTCGGGTGTGTAGTAGTGGATCAATGTCGCAAGAGATCCTTTTTATATCGCTTGAACAGCTCAAACCAGCGCTTTGATACGTTTACGCGCTGTTTTTAGTCTGGTGTGAGTAAAAATGGCAACCACTTCGAAATCAACTTAAACATACTGAAATTTCGTGTAAAATTGCAGACACGCTACCTTCCGATATCTATAAGGTGTTGACTATCTCGCGCAACTTCCCTTTAAGGTCTTTCAAAACTATTTTGTGGCCTTCTTGTTTTCGGGAACTGACTATTTCGGGCGATACCAGAGCGTTCAGCGTCATTAGTGTTCGTACGACCGCCTTTAAATTCAGCATACTAGTCAATGGTTTATTTCTGTGGTGCAGAAACTCCATAACGCTTATTAAGACATTGTTTCTCGATGGGGGAAAACTACTATTGAAGCTAAACAATGCTTAATCAGCACATGAAATTCTTTTCATACATTTTGCATTGTTTTGCAAATTAAAAAACTGGGGTCACTAAAACCACTGTAAACTAATTTTCAGAATGTTATGAAATTTTGACACGTATTGTTTGAAGGATGCTACTATCCAAAAATCATGTCTGTCAATAGTGTTGCCATATGTGTCGGACCGGAGTCTTAAGTGATGGGTTAGATGGGCAAACTACGGCCCACACGGAAGGTTCTAACTGGTCCGCGGATAGAATTTTAATTAGCCGGTACGAGGCAAATTAAAAGAAATATATATTTATATATTATATATCTATCTCCTCTTCTACTTTGATGAAATGTTTTTTTTTTTCTTAATTTTTTTTTTTCAAAAGACTGATGATCATTTTACTTTCTCTATTTTTGTTCCACAAAACATAAATTGACGGAAATGGCAAGTACAGACAGCTTTCAATCGGTAAAGTGTTAAAAGCGGTTCTTTGTTCTTGATAGTTCTTTGTTGGTTATGGCTGTAGATTAACGCCAATAAGTTCCCGAAATTAATATCTCACGCCCAGAAAATCAGTGCTATGTTTGCTTCATCTTATTATATAAGTAAACAAGTGTTTTCAACTATGAACCACAGAAAGAATTATTTCAGAAGTAGACTGACAGATGAGCATTTAGCCTCGTTCCTTAGAATCAGTACATCTCACTTCGAACCTCACTATAAGGAACTTTTAAAAATGAAATCGAAATTTCATTCATCTCATTAACATATTTAAATTGTAATACTTGTCTATTCTTAAAATTATAGAAAAATTTATCTTGGCCCTCCACACTTTTTTCCCGATTTTTGGCCCGCGACCGAAAACATTTGCCCATCCCTGTGTTAGACAAAGCCCACGAACTTTTGTGAACTCATGGTTGAAAGGGGTGGGTGCTGAATAGCCGAGTGGCTAGCGCTCTGGCACTCGGTACCACAGGCTTCGGGTTCGAGTCCCGGTGGTGCCATGGATGTTTGTAGTGGTTCGAAATCCACGTTAAACTGTAGGTCCCGGTCTGTTTAGCCTAAAGTGTGCATACGATGACCGTAGAGCGACAAACCAAACCATGGTTGAAAGGAAAGGGGGCAGCTTTTGTAGTGGGGCATCCATAGGCAGAAGTTTGACTCGATTCCGTGACGCTCTAGTCATATGGCCCTACGGTATAAAGGGGATTTCGAACCCCTACAAGCATCTACACCATATCTTAAACTAATCATAAAATATAAGTATTAAAATTTAACTGCGAATTTTAGTATTGCTTTAAAAATAAATTATAACAAACTCTAATAACAAAAAAAGAAAATCATCGTTCTGAGACAAATTGAACAAATATTTGTCTCTTGAACAACATTGGACATCAAAATTTTAATAGAAGCATTATTAAGAAGGAATACTCAAGCAATTCCCATATTTTCAATTTCAAATTGTGTTCATAATGTATTCCGAGACGGTTTTTAACTTTACGAATTGCTTAGTATGAGTACCATGTAATTTAATGCCAACGGCCGTACCATGCTGAATATACCGGTTCTCGTTAGATCACCGAAGTCATGGATCATTGGGCGCGGTCAGTACTTGGGTGGGTGACCACCTGGGAACACCGCGTGCCGTTGGCATTCACAAATTTGGGACCTGAATGGCCGAGTGTCTAGCGCTCGGCGCCAGAGGTTTCGGATTCGAATCCCGGCGGTGCCATGGACGTTTGTAGTGGTTCGGAATCCACTTTAAGCCGTAGGTCCCGGTCTCCTATGACTGTAAGAGCGTCACGGAGCAAAAGTCAGGCTTCTACCTACGGGTGCTCCATCACAACAGAAGCTGCTTCGTTCCCCTTCAATCATGAGTACGTACGGGCTCGTGGGCTTGGCCAGCCAAGTGGGATAAGAAACAACAACAACAACACCATGTAATTTAAGATTCAACTTTCTATTTTAGGTGCTGATAATAGACGATTGTGCTGATGCTATCCCAGCTGCTGAACGCATTGGAATGCAAATTGTCTCTATTCCAGATGCTCGCTTGGACAAGAGTCTTTTTGAAAAAGCTCATCGAGTTCACTATTCGTTGTACGACTTCAGACCAGAAGAATTTGGCTTACCATCTTATTATACAGGAGAAAGCTAATGCTTCTTTTTTTTATTTATTCAACACCTGAACATACTTATGCAATTATATTTAATGTTGAAATAATGAATTAAATATTTATGCAATACAGTCACATGTAAGATATTTTCGTGAATTCTATACATAATTTGAAATTAATCTGAATTCATATTGAAATCCTTGTAAGCATATCTAATGTATATCAATCTGTGTAAGCTAAAGTTTTTCAAATCTTTTTTAATCTAAAAAGATACATTGTTGAGCATTTAAGTTGATATGTATCTCATCTATTATCTTGTATTAAAATTTTATAAAAACTGAATTTGTTGTCGTATTTTGCTAGTGCTTGTTTGTATTAACGAATTAATTTGTTATATTTAAATTAAATTTAATAAAAAAAATATAACAAATTCTATGAAAAGGGTTTTTAATCTTAAAACTAATAATTAATAAAATTCTGGTTGTCTAGAATCCTAGTTCTAGTCAAAAAATGGATTAATTGCTTTAGAAAGTAAAGGCACAACTTCAGATTATGACCTTTTAATTGTTTTGGAAATGTGCCTTATCATTCCAAATATAAAGGCTGTTGTTTTTAATACAAATAACCAGAACATAGAAACAATTTGCCGATTTGAATAAATTAAAAGTTTTTTTTTTCTTTCATAACGGGTATTTTCAGCTGCTTTTTTTAAGATTGTCGGTTTTTGTAACGTACACGTTTGATAGTTCACATTTCTAGAGAAACTTTAAAAGAATATCTAATTAATTATCATGGAGCAGTAAAAGCAAAATATCCCCATCTGTTTGTAGGTATCCGCTGTAGATAAGCGATAAGCTGTAGATAAGCGTATATAAGCTGCAAGCTTATATACGCTTATCTTGGATTATAGCAATCATCATCGGCCAACAACCCCATGGTGGGCTAAAGCCATCTGCCTGCTGGCTGATTTCGAGACAGATGTTCTTCTTACGGGACGGTTTTGTCAACCTTAAGTCCAGCGCTTTAGCCATGTTAGACTGGGACATACGGTTTAAAGCGGATTTTGAACCTCTACAATCATCCACAGCACCGCCGAGACTCGAAACCGAAACTTGTGGCACAGAGCGCTAGTCACTCAGGCCCCTATAGCAATAATGAAAGTTTTTAATTGCATTCATTGGAATTTATAACGTGGGTTTAGTGCGATCACAAATTTGTCAACAAGAAAATTCCAGATTATAGAGAATTTTAATATTATTACTGACAAAAATAAGATCAAAGATTAGTTTGTTGATTGTTATAACTTTAGTTTACAACAAGTAGAAAAGGTTCTTCCTTCTCATTGGCATTTTTAATGGTATTTCTAATTTTTTTTATTATTATGCTTCGTTATCTTAATTTTGTGTTCTTAGTGAGAATGTTACCATGTTTGATTTTATAATTTTAAGCGTCAAGGTGTCATTTCATCTTTTTTTTTACTGTGTTATGTTTTAAAAACTTTAAGATATAAGAAAGGTAGGCTTTTAGGTGGACCCTCAGTAATTTTTTTCTTACTTAATTGGATAGTAAGGTAAGTTTGGAAACCACTGGTTTCTGGAATCATAAAGTGGTTTGGAAACCACTTTAAGATTCCGGAAACCTGATAAAATGAATATATTTGCTTTTTTTCAGAATTCTGATAAAAGACACTTTTAATAATAAGTGGAAGAAATTATCACCTAACATTTCATTCAGTTTACAGGCGTTTTTATCAGTTTTTCGTTGCATGTAATCTTAGCTTTTTTTTATGTTAAAAAAAAGCTATTTTAATAAATTTTGTGATTTGCTTAAAAAATATTTAATATCAAATACCGTTTTGAGAAAAACGTTGAAATATAACAAATTTCGTTGCGATTAGCTTTCTAATGTCATAGACCTTACAGATAAAAATTTTTTTTTAAATTAAGAAATATTTACGTCACATTCAAGAAATTTATTTTGGGTCTTTCCCAAAAAACATGAAATTGATATAGTTTATAAAGGAAATTATAAAATTCGGTTACTTTTTAGTTTTAATCATTGTATTATTATTATTTATTATTAATTCTTAAAGATTTAACAAGATTTTAATTTTAAACTTCTTACTGTAGTTCTTGACCACTCTCAAATTATATATTTTTTCTAAATTAAAAAATTGTTATTTGATGTATTAAAATACTTATAAAAAAGATAAAAATATAAATTCTTAATGGTTTTTTTATATACAATTTAAAGTAGAATTATACCTCTATTATAATTTAAAATAAAAATAACAATAAATAATTTACTTTATCAAGACTATTAATACATATATATTTAATTCATAACTGCGTTCTTTTGTATGCTAACTTAAATTTGGATCAGTTTTAACTATAAAATAAAAGCATTTCTTTTTTAAAATTGTATTTAAAAAAGATATTAAAATGTTTTTTAAAACCATTCAAATATTTTAAAGAGATATCAGTAATTTAAGTTTTTTTTCAATACGCATAATTTTATATTTATGCAATCTGCAAAATTTTAATTGTATTTTTTTAAGTTAATCTGCAAAATACTTACTGAAAAAACGATTTGGTGTTGGCAACTAAAAAAATATCGTAAAACATTTTATTTGCCAAGTTTTACTAAGGAAAAAAATATTTCAAATCTATAATTAAAAAAAAATTTAATATTTATTGTATAAATGTGGCTCAATCGGTCTAATCTGTCTTGACTACACATATAAACAAAGAATGCAGACAAACAAATACTCCGTAAGCTTTAATGCTTTTATTTTATTTACATTATCTGATTCAATGGTGAATACAAAAACGTCTAAGAATTCCACATAAACTCTTAGATTGCCTAGCAGTATTGTAGTATGGTATTTTACCCACAAGACTCTCAAATACGTGTTAATTATCACAACGACATCTTACTGCATGATTTTGTGGCATTTAAACGATTGATGCCAAAAACAAAAAAAAAATTGTTTAAGAAAAAAACTGTTTAAAATCCATTGTGTCATTTATTTCTGAATTTCTTATAGAGGTTCAGAAAAATTTCAGTACGCTGGTAATCAAAATATTTAAAAAATTATTATAATATAACCTGTATTTTTTCGCCAAAAAGCAATGCTTTATTATCACACGAAATTCCTTTTTATCCATTTTTTCAAACTAACAAAAGTTGCTTCACTAAAAATGCTGCACTCTGTGAAAAAAGTAGAAGGACAGTCATTTTTTTGTACAATATAATTTTATTTTACTGCTTTTGACCTGATTTTTATAGAGAGTTGTTTTGTTAGAGTTTTAATTTACGTTAAGTGAAAGTTAAATGAGATTTTTTTACTTAGCACTATTTTAACTTAGGAATGCAATACTTAATAACTTTGGATGTGTGAAAAAAGTAGAAGGACACGTCCAAAAAATCTATTTAGAAGCTGTTGGAAAGTTTATAGGTAAGTGTTTTTTTCTCTTTTAATTCCTTTTTAACAAGAATAAAATATTTAGCTAGAAATTCATAGTTTTTGTTGGTTTTAGGATGCCCAGAAGAATATCCTTAAGTAAGTTTCAGAAGGGCCAAATAGTTGCCTATAAAAATGAAGGCAAAGGGGTGAGAGAGATTGCACGACAGCTACGAATCAGTCCTAATACTGTTTCGAACTTCATAAGAAACCCTGAAAGTGACAGAAGAAAAAAAGAAGACAGGAAGACAAAAAAAATTCACCCAACTTGATCAACGAAAATCTTTCGTGAACTCAAGAAGACTGGTGGAAGTGTCGGCAAGGCGCAATTTCAATCAGGAATTACACATGTTACCAAAAGAACTGTCTATAACTACATAAAACGCTCAAAAAAGTTCGTCTTCAAAAAACGGATGCACCATCCGAAGTGGAATGAAGGACACATGAAGAACCGACTGCAGTGGGCTAAAGACCACATGTCCTGGAACTCAGAATGGACCTCAGTTATGTTTTTCGATGAGAAAAAATTCAATTTGGATGGTCCAAATGGTTATCAGTACTATTGGCACTGTCTTGGTATTGAAGTAGAAACTTATTCTACTCGACAGATGGGAGAAGGTGGTTTAATGGTATGGTTAGCAGCAGTTGGCTATGGAGGCAGGACAAGTTTAGTCTTTCTAAATGGTAGACAGAACCATACAGACTACATCCAGACTCTAAACTCAAATCTTCTACCGTGTGACACTGAGTTAGGAGGAGATGACTGGATTTTTCAGCAAGATGGAGCATCAATTCACACTGCAAATGATCTTAAAGATCGATTTGCAGCAAACAATGTTCGACTTTTACATTGGCCTGCTAAAAGTCCTGATCTCAACATTGTAGAGAACATATGGGCAATGATTGTACGTCGTGTTTACGAGGGTGGAAAGCAGTTTGAATCTGTAGCTGAGCTGCAGAAATCATTAAACTTTGTATGGGACAATTTTTGCCAAACAAAAATTCAATCTTTATACAGTTCGATGCCAAATAGGATCTTCGAAGTAATTCGAGCCAACGGGAAAAGAAT